CAGAGAGCCACTGTCTCTGGTAATTATACTTGTGTCACGACTAGCACTTGTGGATCTGTCACTAACACTACCTTTATCAAAGGTTAAAGATATTAATTTTAATAATTGCAAATATTTTGACAATAATAATGAGTATTGTCATTGCTTGTATATATGCAGCAAGAAGTGCATGCATCAATTAGTACATCTCTATGAGTTGCTTAGCTCATTCTATTATTATTATATTTTACAGAGGCTCCAACTGTTGCACCTGGGACTGGTATTAGTATCAATCCTGGTAATACTCCAGTCCCTGCTGGCACTAGGACCTGTATCTCAAGTGGTGTTGGATCTTTAGTCCGTCTTGTCTGCAATCTAGCGTTCAACAATGAGTCAGTGTCTGATGTTACTTTCTCTTGGTCCACTCCTGGAGGAGGCAATCAAAGCGGTTCTACCATTACAGCCAGGTCTCCTGGAGATTATACTTGCACTGCTAGTAATCCGTGTGGAAGTAGTCAAGCAACAACTGAAGTTGTTGGTAAGGAAAGGAAAAGTGATTATAATCCAAGACCTTTTTATTTCTTATTTTCAGGTCGTATACAGCAGACGAAAGGAACGGTGACTGGTATTGATCAAACAATTGACATTGGCTCAAGGCTCTGTATCAATTCAGCCAATTCAGTCAGAATCAACTGCAATACTGACTTTGGTACTAGTGTAACTAGAATATGGCGTAGAGATGGCAATGTCATAAGTGGTGTCACTGGTAGCAGTTATGATGCTGTCCCTAGTGATGTAGGAAGTGCAATCACTTGTGCAGTTATGAATCCTTGTGGAATGGACTCGGCAGTTACACAAGTTATTAGTAAGTTCTGAATTAAGATAAATGGTTATAATATCTCTCATCACTGATGTTTATCTTATGCAGCTCAGGCTCCTGTCACCATTAATGGGACTATTTCAACTCTCAATATATCAGACAATGGATGCGATCGTCCCGGTATAACCAGTACCGGTGTTGACCTTTGCCCTCTTGATGGAGAGAGAGTTGAAATTTCTTGTTCTTCTAATGAAGGATATACCATCACTGGACCTGGTGGAAGTTCAATGGATGCTTCTCTTGTTATAATGAACTTTAATCTGTCAGACTCGGGTACATACACTTGTAGATCTACAAGTACTGTCTGTGGTGGTGCAGTGAGTACTATAGTTGTCAGTGGATCAGGTCAGTCAACTTTATAATTAACTTCACTCTAAAAGCTAATTATTCTCATTAATTATTCTCATTAATTATACTCATTAATTATTATTCTCATTAATTATTATTCTCATTAATTATTATTCTCATTAATTATTATTCTCATTAATTATTCTCATTAATTGTTATTCTCATTAATTATTCTCATTAATTGTTACTCTCAGGTGTACCTCCTTCAATCAGCACTGACACTCCTGCCACAGCTACTCCCACTCTACCTCCAACAGTAATGAATAGGACAATCCCAATTGGAACTGACATCTGTTTATTAGAAACTCAGTTTGTCACCATTGATTGTAGGACTCAGAGTGGTACTGAGCCTATTAGGTTTACATGGACTGCTGCTTCAACTGGTAGTAGAGTAATAGCAAATGGAATGAGAATAACTGTTAATAATACTGATGTGTATACTTGTAATGCTACCAATGCATTCGGTACTTCTACTGCCAGCTCTACAGTTGAACGTAAGCCGAGCTCATTTACATTTTTTTATTTATGTTTTTTTTTGCTGTGGGACAAAAATATGAAATCAAAAAAAATATGAAATTATGTACTCCAGACACTTCCATTTATGTAGTCATTATACAAGAAAAGATTTATTGCATCTTACCATTATTTTTTTTGCACAGTACTTTTAATAATATTCCCTTTCAGGTCGATTAAGTGTCTCTTTGAATGGAGTCAGTCCTCAAGGAAGCAGATGCGATCAACTTAAGAGAAGACCCCCTGGTGTGGACTATTGTGCATTTGTTGGAGATAGTGTTACTCTTTCCTGCAGCATAAATTCTCCTACTGTTCCTACCACGATATACCTTGGAAGCACTTCTAGCACCAGTGATATCCCTTTTATTCCCATCCTTCCTAGTGCCGAAGGAAACTACCTGTGCAATGCTACCAATGACTGCGGAACTAGTAGTGATATGCTTAACCTTAGAGTCTATGGTAAGGAATGAGAGTAGAGAGAGAGTAATTATGCTCACACACATTGTAAATTCAATTTGTGATATCCATTTTAAAAAATGCTTTTTAAAGCAAGAGTATTCTCCTGGCCTTTTTTGAAAAATTTCATGTACTATTACATAGAATTTTTTTAAAAAGGGCACGAGAATACTCTCACTTTAAAAAGCATTTTTTTAAAATGCATACTCAAAAATTGGGCCATGGCCAAATTTTTGAGTAACTTTAAAATTTCATTAAAAAATCCAATTTTGATCTGAATCAGCTCAAACTTGCTACACAACATAAGAACATGTATACGTATCAAAAAATAGTACAAAAATGAAGAATTCTTTCCTAGTCATTTTTGGCGAAATTTGGCCAAAGACCCTGTACTATAGTACAGGGACTTTGGCCCGATTTTTGAGTAACTTTAAAAATTCTTTAAAAAATCCAAACTTGATCGGAATCAGCTCAAACTTGCTACACAACATAAGAACAGGTATATGTATCAAAAAATATTACAAAAATGAAGAATTCTCTCCTAGTCATTTTTGGCGAAATTTGGTCCAAGACCCTGTATTATAGTACAGGGACTTTGGCCCAATTTTTGAGTAACATTAAAAATTCATAAAAAATCCAATTTTGATTGGAATCAGCTCAAACTTGCTACACAACATAAGAACATGTATATGTATCAAAAAATATTACAAAAATGAAGAATTTTCTCCTAGTCATTTTTGGCGAAATTTGGTCAAAGACCCTGTACTATAGTACAGGAACTTTGGCCCAATTTTTGAGTAACTTTAAAAATTCTTTAAAAAATCCAAACTTGATCGGAATCAGCTCAAACTTGCTACACAACATAAGAACATGTATATGTATCAAAAAATAGTACAAAAATGAAGAATTCTCTCCTAGTCATTTTTGGTGACATTTGGCCAAAGACCCTGTGCTATAGTACAGGGACTTTGGCCCGATTTTTGAGTAACTTTAAAAATTCATAAAAAATTTAGTTTTGATCGGAATCAGCTCAAACTTGCTACACAACATAAGAACATGTATGTGTATCAAAAAATAGTACAAAAATGAAGAATTCTCTCCTAGTCATTTTTGGTGAAATTTGGCCAAAGACCCTGTACTATAGTACAGGGACTTTGGCCCGATTTTTGAGTAACTTAAAAAAATCGTAAAAAATTTAGTTTTGATCGGAATCTGCTCAAACTTTATATGCAACATAAGTACATGTATATAAATCAGAAAAAATTATTAAATTGGAGAATTCTCTTCTAGTCATTTTTGGTGAAATTTGGTCAGTGACCCTGTACTATAGTACAGGGACTTTGGGCCGATTTTTGAGTAAATTAAAAATTTGTAAAAAATTTAGTTTTGATTGGAATCCGCTCAAACTTTATACACAACATAACTACATGTAATATAAATCAGAAAAAATTATAAAAATAGGGAATTTTCTACTAGGCTTTTTGGTGAAATTTGACCAGTAACCATGTACAGGGACTTTGGCCCAATTTTCTCAATTATTACTGTGCATATACTTTGTTTTACTTACAATTTTGCTCCAGATCCTGCAAGAATTGATCGTCAGCAGACCCTACCACCCCCTGGCCCTAATGAAGAGGTCATTGGTGCAGGTAGACCTGACGAGCCAAATGAAGTCACTCCAGGCAGAACCGTCAGATTATTCTGTCCGTTCACTGGAATAGACCCAGCTAATACGACATGGCTGAGGGTACGGCCTGATGGATTCACTACTGAAATCGATACGAGTCTACCAGCCTTCTCCATTAATAATACAGGAAACGTGTCAGTATTGATCATCTCTCCCTTTACCAGAGAGTTTGAAGGAACTTATCGCTGCACTACAACTAACATTGCCGGTGATGATGCAGGAGATGTTGTGCTTCAAGGTAAAAAAAAATTTTTTAATTTTTTCTTTTAAGGTAAAAACTATTTCTAATTTTGTACTTTAAGTAGAAAATCATCCTTAATTTTCATCATTAGTATTATTATTATTATTATTACTACTATTGCTATTGTGTTTTTGTTTGTTTTATGCAGCGACTGTTGAAGTAATTCCCGAGTGGGTAACAAGCCCTTGGAGTGAGGTATGTACACAAGAAATGATCTTACAGTCAAATACAATCATCATGGGCTTTTGCAAGTAGATTAATTCAGACATGCATGTGCCTTCCAGCATGCTATTGATTAAATAAAATTGTACACCAGTTACTACTATACAATAATAAATGCAAAAGAGATGAGCTTTCTTTCCCCTGCAGAGTGTGGTAATCATTATTATTTTTTTAATGTATAATACAGTGTCAACCAAAATGTCACCGAGGAATGAGAATGAGACTGGTCCATTGTGTTGACAGGTTATCTGGTAGGAGGCTTCCAGATAACAGATGTACCGAGTCAAAACCTTTGACAATGGAGTCATGCGTGAACTCTGGCCCTTGCTTTACTACACCGAAATGGAAAACTGGAAATTGGACCGGGGTTAGAACAATATTGTAGATTTTGTGTGAAAAAAATTTTCATTAGCAATTGCAAATCAAATTTGCATGCTATGCAATGATATCAATTAAATTACTACAAGAAAATTAATGTAGAATTTGTTGAGTGACAAATGTGTGTGTATAACTACTTGAATGGTTATTTTGTGTAATAGAATAATGATAATCCTCAATGTTTATGCTAATATTATTGTTTGTAGTGTTCTGTTTCCTGTGGTGGAGGTCACCGTACTAGGTCTGTCACTTGTGTAATACCTCTTACTGGAGAGACTGTTCCTGATAGTAGATGCATAGATGTTCGTAAGCCCAGGGACCATGAGTACTGCAATGACCATTCTTGTAAGTCTATTTTACGTTTCTTTTAAGCAACAAACTTATATTTTCCATGCAAACCAATCACTCTTACTTGTACCAAAGTACTTTGAATTGAAACTGGTTCCAATGATTTGCCTCCTTTCCTTTATCTTGCAGGTTGTGTGAGTGACGCATACAAAGCTTGCAAGCACATTGCTGGAACTCACTCGTGCTCCTTTGGCTACATGAGGACTATCTGTTGCTGGACTTGCAGGCACTATCATTATTACTGAGGGGCCCAGTGGCTCACCGTCACACATGCATGTATCTAGAACTTACATTTCTCTTGAAAACTGAGAGAACGGCTATAGAAAAAAACAATATTTTGTTGTGTTACTATTTCCTATAGATACTTTTATGTCGAGTTATTAATTTTTTGGTGGCTGGTGCCATCAATAATATTATTTTTCAAATGGACTTTTAAAAATTGGAGTCAGTGCTTGCCTATTTTAGCATAGTAAGGCTAGACTGTGCGCAGTTACTGGCCATATGAATTGAGCCTTCCCGCGGCCTTGAGTGAAACGCCGGCCTCAGCGCCCAGCGCTTTAATACTTGTCAGACAAGACAGTAGAGGAAAGGAAGACAACACAGGAGTCTGTCCTCCATATTTAGGACAGTTGAAGAAATGGCCAGCTTTACCACTGGTGCCAAGGTTCTACTACTGTTTGCAGTTAAGCTGTTTAATACATAGATCTATGTATAATATGAAGTTCTTTCCAATAGATAGTGGCAGTGCTAGTCAAACTAGCTCAGTCTCAATCATGTAAGTTATAATGACCATTTTGCAATGCTTTGGGTGGAGTTTATGAGCTGTGCAAACAATCTTGGTGGTGCAACTAGATCTACATAATAATTTCATTATTTTATTTTCCTTTTCTGTGACAATTATGCAGGCACTCTACCAATGTTTAAATTTGGAGGAGGAGGTCTAATCACTGGCATAAAAGAACCAGGTCAAGATGTTGGTCGACCAGATCGGTTTCTGTGTTTGCAAAATTTACAAGAAAGGAATGTGGGTACTCTTACCATGGACTGCATATCTGACGGTCCAGCAATCAGGATGTGGTTTATTAATGGAGTCAAGAACCCTAATATAAACTCATATACCTATACATTTAACATTGATGATCCTGTAAATGTTAGCTGTGTACTTATGAATGAGTGTGGGAACAGTACCTATCCCGTTATAATTTCAAACAGTAAGTAAATATTGTGTGTGCTTGTGTATGCATACATTATCTATCATGCATGTGCGGTAGAGTATTTGTGATCACACATTTTTCCTTCTCATATTATACAGGTAGACCTATAATAAGACATTCTGTGATACAAGGGAGCAATAATGTTACCGGAGCACGCGTTGTTTGTCTCAATCTTACAGACACTAATCGTCCAAGTACACAATTCTTTTGCCCTGTTGTAAATATAGACGAATCCCTTGGCTTTGAAAGAAAATGGTTTAAAGATATGTTTGAAGTTACTGACTCTTCAACTCTAGAATTTCTCACTATTGCAATGATTGGAAGTTACACATGTGTTGCCAACAACTCATGTGGAGCTGGTACTGCACGCATTAAAGTTAACGGTATGTTATAGAAGATAAAATATGAGAAAAGATAAACCAATTTCATTGCCTGTCTCTTTCCCTATTAAATCAATAGCTTATCCAATTATAAGAAAAGGGAATGGAACAATTTCTGCCAGTGTGGCTGACATTGGGGCAGACCTGTGCACTACGGCTCCAAGGGCAATGCTGATCTGTCATATATTGAATAATATTGAGGGTACGAGAATATGGCAAAGGAATGGCATGACACTACCTGAGACAGGAGAGGTCCTCACTATAACGCCTCCCACAAATAATGATGATGTGTATACCTGCACAGTTATGAATGAGTGTACGCGGCAGAACAGTGTACTCCCAGATACTGCTTCATCAACTGTATTCCGTAAGAGAACGAGAGAGAGAGAGAGAGAAAGAGAGGGAGGGAGAGAGAGGAGAGGAGAGGAGAAAGAAGAAGTGTGATTTACTGTATTATTAATATGTAGGGAGACTGACAGCCAGTATAACTGGTTCTATTGATGGTGTGACTGGTAATGGTTGTAATCGGCCCTCTGCCAGGGATGTAAGCAGAGCCGATCTTTGCCCCAGTTTTCGTGAAAGGGTGACAATATCCTGTACTACTACTGAGCCATACATTATATATTTTGGACCAGCTTTTATACAAGTTGCTGATAACGAAGATTATGTGATACCTAGTTATAGGGATAACGATTCTGGGTTCTATACTTGCATTGCTATGTCAGCGTGCAATAATGCAAGTGACAGAATCACTACTGCACCTCTGGGTAAGGGCTGCCTGTATTCTATCTCAGTCAATTTTATTATTAATACCTTAATTTCAGGCAATGAACCTACTATACCGCCGGAACCCCCAAGTGAACCTTGTGTGATGCCTCCTTGTAATATTGCAGTTGGGGCTGATATCTGCATAGCGCCAGGATTAACTGTAAACATAAACTGTGTTGCAAATGGAACAGTATCAAACTATACGTGGGAAAAAGACGGAGTATTCTTTTCTAACAATCAGAATCTCACTAATGTTGGACCCGGTACCTATACCTGCACTGCAAGAAATCCCGTTGGCTCTGACAGTCAAACCTCAAAAGTTGAAGGTAAGGTCTGTCACCAGCCATTCTCAACTTCTTCCTCCCATCTTCAGAATTCAATACTGTTGAATTGGGTGCCACTAGAGATAGTGTCAATAGATGCAGTCAATTGAGATACCCACCTCCTGCTAGAACTGACTTTTGTGCTTTTGTTGGTGACCGAGTTACACTAAGGTGTACTCCATCGCAGCCCGATGTGCCAACTGAAATTAATCCTGACGGAGAGCCTGGGGAGAAGATATTTAATTCAATACAGCTTCAAGATTCTGGTAACTATCTCTGCAATGCAACAACCGATTGTAGCACTAACACTAGCATGATTAACATTCGCGTATATGGTGAGTATAAATATAAATTTATCATTGAGCAAAATTAAATTTTCAAAAATAATTATAAGCTCAAAAATAATTTTAAGCTCAAAAATTTGTATCTTATCTTTTAAAATGTAGACCCAGCTACTATAGACAGGGGAAAGACACTTCCAGCTCCCCAAGAGAACGAGCTAGTTCAAGGTGCTGGACGCACGAGTGAAGAAGTCTGTGGAAGAGATAATAACAAAATATCTCTTCACTGTTGCTATTCCGGTTTCGACCAGCCAACAACAATGTGGTTATTTATAGCAGAGGGTAGCACACAAGCTGTTCCTATAAATACTAGTGATCCTAATATAATGATTAGTGATGATGGGATGAACTCTGTATTGATGATCAATCCTTTTGGGGAGGATTATGCTGGTACTTATCGCTGCAACACGACCAACATTGCCGGGACTGATGCTGGAGATGTCAATGTAGTATGTAAGTGAACTGTGCTTATTGTTTGTCCAAGGCAGTGCTGTGATGAATGGAAATGAAAATAAATTGCGTAGCGTGCAAAATATTTAGTCCACTTTTCAAATTAATAATGTAGGAAATTTAGCATAGTACTTTAATGCTAAAATTAAATTGACGCATGAATTAATAACTTCACGCAAATTAATTTTAATTAATTGTATAAATTATCATATAGACAAACCCCCAGAAGAGAAGGAATGGCTTGTTTCTACATGGAGTAGAGTAAGTCTTTATTATTTCATATAAGGCATCACTCATTATTACCATCATTATATATTAGTATTATAATTTTTAAAATTCAGTTTTGATTAATTATTTGTTATTAAGTGTTTCCCGCTCAATTTCAATTAAGAATAATAATAATTACTTATTATCATTATTATCATTATTATTATTTGTTATTAAGTGTTTCCCTGATTGTCATCGTGGCGTAAGGAACAGGACCGTTGTGTGTGTGACTGTTTCCAATCGTATGGTGATGGACGGGTGTACTCCTCCTCCACCTCCTTCAGAAGAGCAATGCACTGAAAGGGGACCATGCACTGAATGGGTGCCAGGGAATTGGTCAGTGGTAAGTTAATGCACGTAATAATGTTCACATTCTCTGACGAATACTTTTAACATTTTAATTTGTTCTAATTTTCTGCATGACATAGATTGGAAAATAAGAATGGAGGCATTTTAGTATCTCTAAATTTATTCTGATAATGCATACTGATGCCTTTATGCTACATAAAGAGTTACCTTGTCATAGCATACAAAATTAAAGCGAAAGGCCATAAGCTGGTCTCAGCCTTGACTCCCTTATGTAATGTTAAAATATGCAAGCTGATTGCACAATCCAAATTTCACTCTCATTGATTTTTTCTCAGGAAAGTGTAGTATTTCTTTTGATGTATAAACAACATTTGTATGGATTTTATTTATACATTTGTAGCAGTCACACTGTCTATCTACACCTTTTCCCCTAGTGTACAAAAACTTGTGGAATCGGCTATCAAGTTCGCAGAGTCACTTGTAAAGCTACATATGATAATACCATTGAACTGAACGATTCAGAATGTTTGACTGCACGCCCGCCTGTATTCCGCTACTGTAACATACAAGACTGCCGTAAGTAACACGGGTAATTTTTATTAATATTTTTTGTTGCTATATATAGCTTGTGTCGAGCCGGCATATTGCAGTCACTATGTTGGTACTGAAATGTGCTGGAGAACTGAAGTACAAAGAGACTGTTGCTGTACCTGCGGGCCAGCTCCTTGAGGAAGACACAAGAAGACATTGAGAGTCCTGGTCTACCTTTTAATAAGTGGTTGACCACCTCTTCACTTTTTTGATAGTAATGCATGTATGTAAACATCTATATTAGTAATGTATGAAGTACTTCATAATGTGTTTGTATTTCTCTGAATTTAATATAATTGGTTTCCATGATGATTTGCGATGGTTTAGAAGATATTTGTCACGCCTTGAGCTGCACTTCCCAGGAAAACTGAAGTTGGTGTAGCCATAAAAGCTATGATGCAACTAGCTTTGCCAACTAAATTATCCATGATCTCACAGTTCGAAACCATAGCAATACTCTAACCACAACTATCATCCATATTATTGTTAATATTGCATACCTAACCCTTCACATGCATTAGCCCGCCCCTTCAGAATAAAACAAAAAGGCAGGCTTTCCTAGCTTTATACTTCATTTGCAGGATCTTAGCTATGGAGCTGAGGCCATGTTGGAGCCTGCAGAATATAATCTGGTGTATCTTTATCACTGTAAGTTTTTAGAGATAATAATAAGATGCTTTACTGGCTCTAATATTATTTAATCATTAGATTACTGCTCTTACTGGTGCTGCTTACGGGCAGGACTACACAGAAGTGTATTACTGGAATGGACAACTGAGCATCCCTAGAGACAATAGAACGGCAATTCCAAGTAAGGTTTAGGTTGCATGGCTTATTATGACAAGATGAAAATGTAGACTAATTACTGAACCGAGTGATCGACGGCGGTTTATTATTAAAATAAGAACTGAGTATCTATCTAACTAAAATTAATATCCTTGCCATGTGCATATATATAAATGACATAGCTCTATAAAACTCAGAGTTAATAGCACTGCAGTAGTGCATCTGCGAATGTGATTTATGATATCATTTCTGTGAAACTCACCGAATTTGTCAAAATTATCACAAATATGCTTTACTATAGACAGTCAATCATCAAAGGAATTCTTTACTATCATAGCAACCCACGCCTACATCATGTGTGGTCACTGATTTGTAGGTACATTGATTTGCATTTTTCAAAGACATGCTATATGCAGCTGCAGCAGTGGTACTAATTATAGTACACTAACAGTAAACATAAATGAGTAGCTGCCAGTTTTAGTATACACAATATCCCAGTGAAAAAGCCGCATTGACCTTGGTGTATATTCCTCATTAATTACATTCATAACTATTCCCTTCCTTACATTTATAATAATGTGAGCTTGATTGTAGTAGTAATGGCTTCTGAAGCCAGTTAACCGTGGGGTGATATAATCTCTGTGAAATGTAATACCTTCCTGAGAAGAAGTTATATTGCTGCTATTATCAAATCAGTAGATTTAATTGATTGTAGCAGTATAGCCCATTACTCCATTATAATCTATAAGTGGTATACTAGAGAGGTGTTTATTGCTTATTGATTAAAGTATTAATTATTGCCAGATGTGTGTATGAGCTGAACAACAGGTGGTAGAATCACCTAGAGATTAGCCAATATTATTCAAGCTTATTCAACTGGTTTTTATAATTATTTATACACACACACACAGTTCCAAACAGGGTCTATGTCCAACTGCCCAACACTACAGATGTATTAG